CAGTGACAGACCTGACCCCACCAGTACTGTACCCCAGTGTTATACAGCGACAGACCTGACCCCACCAGTACTGTACCCCGGTATTACACAGTGACAGACCTGTCCCCACCAGTACTGTTACCCCAGTGTTAGACAGACCTGTACCCACTGAGACTTCAGCCAAATACCTACCCAATGAATCTGCAACAGATACTCAATTGCAAGTAATTTTTTGTAATTGCTTTCTGCCAGTGTCTCACTCAGTTGATGCTGGATTAATTCCACACTAGAGAGTTAATGATTACAATGAAATGACTTCATGTTAATTTTTGAAGAACAGCAGAGGAGCGACCACCCACACAATATGCTGGCCATTCTGATTCTTTTACAAAACTGATCCCGTACTCAACCTTTAGTCAAGAACAGCGATAACCCCTACAAACATCAGTGTCATCTGCAGGTTTCCAAATCTGTACTTTGCAGAGGGAATATCAGTGAATACAAACTGAAACCCAGAGCACTTTCTATGAGAGAGACGGTGGCTTCATCCTGCAATTTGCAGGATTGGGGAAGAAAATATCAGCAGCTCTTTACCCCGGGTTTTTTTTTTAAATACAGCTTAACATCGTCTCCCCAGAGCCAGTCCAAGTTTGGAAGGACAGACCTGTTTGCACAAGACTAGGCATTTTTCCAAATTGTATCTCACCACAAACCAGCACATTCTACTGAAAGTCACAAGTAAGATATTTCACAACACAAACTGGGGGCAGCTTTCACCTTGTTTTGGGGACATAGGAATGGAGAGATCCCACTGTGAACTCAGCACAGTCAGGGCCAGCAATTTACCGACTATGGTTAACTTTGAGAATAAGGAGTGGAGTGGGGGAGGGAGGATTAGAGGCAGCGTTCTTGATTTCTAATCCAGTGACCCCTCCACTAAACCCCAATGATAGCACTCGCCCAGCTTCCTAAGTGGGGCACAGTCAGTGAACAACCCGGAATGTTACTGTGGATGAGGTCAGAAGTGACATGACGAAGGAGCGGCGCACCAAAAGTTTGTGATTTCAAATAAACCTGTTGGACTATAACCTGGTGTCATGTGACTTCTGACCTTGTCCACTCCAGTCCAACACTGGCACCTCCACATTTAGTGTGGACATGCAGCCAGAACAAGGTCTGGCTCTCCATAGTCGAATAGGCTCTCTTCTCCCTCAGCCTAGATTGATGTAGAGTGTCAGTTTACAACACAAGAGCCCATTTGGCCCATCTCAATTGTGCCAACCCTTTGTCAGAGCCAAGACAAGAGTTCTGCCCACTCAGTGCCTACTCTCTCTATTTGAAAACCTTTTATCTCTCATAAGGAAAAAAAAATGGGTAATGAGTTACCAAAGCTCCGAATAGCAGGAGTAGACTACTCTGCCCCTCAAATGTACTTGCCCATTCAATAATCTGATTGCCCCATCACTGTGAGGAAGCGGTGCAACCACTTTCCCTATTAGAGACATCGCTTCAAAACGCTCTGTCAGGTTGTCAGAGGCATTTCCAAATTAATGAAGTCTCACTCCCAAAGAAAAACAATGACGCTTTTTCTACCCCTTCCAAAAATAAATATCCTTTCGGGTACGTTTCTCAGCTCCAGGTAGCAGCTCTCCCACCTTTCCAGATGAGGGAAGCACAAGCCAGCACCTGGTGCGGGAGAACAGCAAGAAAAAGTTCCGCGAGTGGGGTCCATACATTTCAATCTGTCTCCGGGGATGAAGAAAATTCAAAGGAATTTGTGAAAAGGTCGAAAGGAAGGGGCTGGGATGGTGAATCTCTAACAGTAGCTCGTTCATAATGTGGAACAGTCTTGAGATACGAAGTCTTTCATTTGAGAAACAAAAGTATTTCAATCGAGGGACAAAATATTCCAACTGAGAGATATTTCTATTGAGATACAGTCTTTCATTTGAGAAACAAAGTATTTCACTTGAGATAAAAAATGTTTCAGTTGAGATACAAAGTATTTGAGATACAAAGTATTTAATTTGGAAACAATGTTTAATCTTGAAACAAAGTATTTCATTTGGGAACAAAAGTATGGAGTGTTTGAGAAACACTAGGGGACTTTTGTCTCTCTCTTTCTCTCACCTTGTCCTGCTTGTTATCCTCGGGAGATGTTGCCAACTTGCTGCAGCTTTTCTCGGGGTTTTCCACTTTGATGAGCCGGTGTTTCGGGGAGACGTACTTGAGCTCAGGAGAAGCTGCTTTCTTGGCCGGGTGTGAATGTGGAGAGGAGCCGGTACCTGGAGCTCCAGGAGCGGCTGTAGAGCCTGCCCCTGGCCCGGCCGCCTCGCCCTCCGAGCGGAGCCGCTGTAGGCAGCGGGAGCCGCCGGTGTACGGATCCTCGAAGTCCCGCTCCTTCTGCAGCTTGTAAGCGGCCAGGATGTCGGGTTCTGCCCCCGGCCGCGGGCGGTAGTCGGGTTTCGGAGGCTGCGGGGGCCCCTTGCTGCTCCTGAAGCCCAGGTGCTCCTTGAACCATTTGGCCATCGCTGCCGCCGCCGCGCATCGCTCTGGCCGGGCCGGTCCCGCTCGGCTCCTCACACCGACTGGCACTGACTCCGCTCCGGCTCC